TGCCTCCATTACCTAAAGCTGGCTGATAAAAGTGTGAATTTGAACCCTCATGGCTGAGGTAGAAGCACTGGCAGTGTCGTAAGCATGTTGACACAATTCCTCATGTCTGCATGATCTGGAAAGTGGTGGGACCTTGGCGTTCACTTCGCCATAATTCCTGCCTACTAAGTATCTTGTTTTGATTAGGTCCGCAGAACTGGAATGGCCGTTGATGTCATGCATGTAGGAAGCCAAGGTTGACGTGAATTTGAAAGCCATTTCGGGGCAAAACTCACTCAGGTAAGGGATTTTATGAGATAGACTTTTAGTGTACCTGATTTAATAATTCATACAATAACTAAGGGCTCGGTATTTGAGGGTAAGATTACTTTTATTGAGCCTAATAAATTAACATTGTGTACTTTCAGAGATAGTCCAGACTTTAAAGGTGTCGCTAACAGCAAATTTGGTTTAGCGGATTAAAAACAAACACAAATTAAAATTTATAATGATTAAAAATTGCAAATGGACTGTAAACTATTCCCTTCCTACGTTGGAATACTTTTTTGCCTTTAAAAGGCTCTACAACACTAGGCCATCAACCGCGATTAACCCAAACATTTTCACTGCTGAAGTTGCGTTCATTTTTATAGTACAAGATGGTTTGGACACGAATTTTTTTATCAAAACACTCATTTAATTCTAGTGTTCATGCAACTGCTCTGCACACCTTACATTTTTAGATTTCAAAGGTATACGCATTACGGATTTAAATTCTTTCCTATAAAAAATCGTCTTGTGTGTGATTCTGTGGTAGTTAGAGCATTCCTCGGGTACTAGAATTGTGTATTATATGCCCTCAGCCGTCAAGTTTACACAAGATTCTCCACCATGGACGCGATTTTTAGACTGAACCCTTTTGTGGTGGGCGATCATTTGAGTAGATGTTTGTGAGGTTTCAAGTAGAGTTTGGGGATCCCTGTAACCCGTGTTGTAGGAAGGATTGGTCAAACTGTGCAGCCCTCCGAAACCTCCCCGCAGAAGGTTTGAGGAAGAAAAGTTGTAGCTGATGTCTCGAAGGTCTGAGTATTTGCTAGCATACCCAATATATAGTGCCAGTCATCAAAATTGCAAGGGATGGCCTTAAGTGCCCGCGAAATCTAAACAACACTTGTGCAATATTTCAGTGCCATACGGGCAATCTAATGGCGAGAATACAGGCGAAAAGAAACGATTTCAGGCTTCACTTCTCTCTAATGAAGCCTTTTTAAATTGGGTTGCTTTTCATACCTGATGTGATGCTTGATGGTTCCAAACAATTAATCACATGACTCCATGACTATCATGAAAAATAATTTTTTAGACTAATGATTTGTCCAAAACAGGGTCTAGCTTAAAGTCCGCGATAGCAATTTGATCAACTACACATATATTCAAGAGAAGGCGGTTCCTAACCAACGTCCTCCTGACAGCCAAAGACAATTTGCCGTTAAACAATTTGTCTCGAGGTCGAGGAGAGCTCCGACGTCAACCATTTAAGCCTAATAACAGGCAAATCATCTGCCATGAGGGCGAGCATCCGTGTTCAGTAAATTAACTGACACTGACAATTGGTATTCGTTTTAAGTACATTTTCTCTGCAAATTTTTTGCTTCATCGATGCCGCAACTCGTTTCTAAGTAGCCTTTCATCCCATCAACAAGTGATGAGGCTAATAAAATGCACATTTTCATTTTAGGCAAAGGGACCAAAGCACTATCAGGTTGCCTCGTCGACAAGCCAATCTGCAATGCAAGTGACCAGCATGACCTCTTGTTTAGATATATCCGAAAACGGACACCCAACAATTATTATTAGTGCGTGTGAGTTTGAATGCAAATAGTAAAATTTTCTCGTCGATGGGGCATAAATGCAACGTCTCCACTTAAAGGTTCATAAATAATTAAGTAAAATGAACTAAAAACTACTTGAAATTCATCCATAGAAACGCTTTTCTGTGCTTCAACGTTTTACCCAACAGAGGGCAGTCAGTCTTAGAGTTGAAGAGTGCGGATTCCTGCTTAGCATAACGGCAAATAGATTGAAACAAACTCCGGAGTTTAGAAGCGCTGTGAACCATCGCATGGATTTATAAGTGGCGAACGACGACTTGATTTATGGTAGCTCTCTGTTCTCTATAATTTTGAGGCCACGTTAGGCGACCTTGTCGTCTGTTTCTTTCCACAGCCCTTGCACATTAAAACAACTATTAATCGTTGCTAAAACGGACCGAATTCGGTTGTCTTCAAGGCACTAGAAATGGTAATAAGCACTCTTTGAATTTTTTCGCAAAATTAATTATTATACTTTTACGCCTTTAAACCGCTTAATCACTTGTTTTAAGATGTTTGAGCACTGGTCCTGATAATCTTTTCTCTTTGAAGTTGTTTTTATAAAACAAGGCCAGAAGTGTGTCGATAAAGCGAAATCTTTGACACCGGAAACACTTTATCGGTGAAGGAAGAAAGGGAAGCTAATCATGCTCAGCGAAGATGCCGTCTGATACCCTTCCCCTTTCTATGCTTTCCTTTCCCAACCCCCAAAATGAAGTCTATTTCAGTTCTTGCACTTAAGACATAAATGCAAATGGGAAATTTTTGCCCGAACAGGTACCGAACTAATGACGTTTTTGGTTGTTGTTTTGGGCAAACCTCTAATTATCACATCAATGCGAATATGACGAGAAAGGAAATATGAATATCCAAAAAGTCATTGTTTTATTATTCCTGCATGCAACTCATTTTCCACGCAGACTTGTAATTAAGCCGTTATTTTTGACTACAGACAAAAAATTTTCATCGCGTGGTCCCCACGTTAATATTCATCAAGAATCCAGCAACTCACGTCTGACCGCAAAGTTATAAAGTGTCGTCCCTGCGCATTGAAGGTCTTTACAACTTTTCCTGTTTCAATGTTTGATTGGCTTTGGAGAAGGCGAAAAAGTTGTCAAAAAAATTAAGAGAAAATGGCACTAAGGCTGCTGGTAGAGGTAGTGCAAAATGCGGGCTAAAGGCTAACAACAGAGAGTAGAATCAAAATTAAGCCTTTTTCTAGCTAATTACTACTACTACTACTACTAATGCTCCAATTTATCACTAGCTTTTAGCTTCTAACCTAATATCCCTTAGGATGAAAAAGGCCCTTCAAGTGGAGGGAAGGAGAATGCCAAAACCTTAATGAATGGCCCAACTACAAAGAGAACCTCGGGTGAATATAAGACCAACTGTTAAAGGCTGGAGCCGCTTTTGTACTCTTCTGATCAGGCGTTGCTTAATGGAGATCGAAAGTTACACGCTTTGGTTGTTCAATAAAGGATTGAAGGTGTACCGCTGGAAGTCAAGAGAGGTGAGTTCGAATTCCACAGGGATCAAAATGGATTTGTAATTATAACCCATAATAAAATAACATTAATTTTACAGTTTCTTCGCTTTTAACAGTGGTTCCACCTGCTGTTTTGGTACTTTTAAATAGCATGTTCTACATTAGAAAGATGCGTTTCATAAAACCCTGATGAAGAGCTGAACTTGGAAAAGGTCACATTTTTGGACTTTAAGCCAATGAATCGCAGAAGGCAAAACTATAGGGCGTCCCATTTCTTGTGAAGCCGAAACGAGCCGCGTCGTGTTGGAGGGCCTGCCACTGCCATGCAGAAGGATCGAGCGCTCTTGGGCATAGCCAAAGGGCTTGCTGCTCAAACGGAAGTATAATTCACGGAAACCGAGAAGCCCGCCCAATTAAATGTGCGTATAAGGCAGCCACCGTTATGTTGCAGTTTAAAATTATAATGATTTTTTCACTCGAAAAAAGTTTAATCCTCGAACAGTCAGTTTGTGTAAATTAAGTTCCTCAACCTAACCCAGAAAGAACACTTTACCTGGGTTCATACCAAGGCATTTAAAATCGCATTTGATAGCTCTTTGTTTGTTTTATTTCCATTGTGAGTTAGGAGTCGCTTAAGGGTCTGGCCTTGTACTTTGGCTTAACGAGGCCACCTCCAAGATATGTCGGCATCTCTCAGTCTTTCCGTACGTCGATGTGCTTTCCCCCTTTCCCATTTCCCCTTCCTCCTCCATCGTGACATCTCTGTCTACATTCAGAGAGTAATTGGGCATTGCGAATATGCGGTGCAGTCGCGCCAAAAGAACCAGGTAAGAGCAAGGTATTATTTGTAGCCAGCACTATTTGAATGATGTCTAAAGTGGCCAACAACAAGGAGTGAAGTGATATGCAACAAAAAGTTACGGCTTTCCTTTCAATATAAACCTTGCTAACAGAAACCTCTCATTTACTTCTATAGCAGAGTATGAAATATCTACCATGGTTAAATCGGCTGACTAACCGAAAATGTGTTAAGTAACCGACTTTAACTAAAACACTGCCATATATGGCAACACCAGGGAAGGTGTAAAAAATTTCCAAAGCTAATAAAAGATTTACATTAAACAGCGCAACTGAAAAGGAATTTTTTGCACTCCAAAGTCTAGCGAAGTGAACAATCCTAGTTTTTGTTTAAATTCCTACTTCAAGCCATTCTCACGCCCAAGCGTTCACAAATTGAGTTTTTTTTGGCCAGGTAATGTAGTTTAAGGATTTTAAAGACATTTAACACATCAGAGGAAATTGTGAAACAACTAAGTTAGTTGTACAATGCATCGGTGATGTAACTATTGGAATGTGCAAAATATTGGACAGTTGAGAGCATACCTTAACATTTATTTATGTCGTGCTCATGATAAATCCTCTGATTGGTTGGAGGACAGACAACCAATGGGAGTGAGGAAGTATAAATGCATCTCAAATGCACGAGATCATGTCCACTAGGGTGAGTGACAAAGCCCTGACTATTCGATGAAGTGAATGGCGTCCCTTGATTGTTCCGCCTTGGGATGATGCGCCACCTCAGGATAGTAGACAAACTGATTGCTTTAACCTTGCTAATTGCTTACAGTCAGCCATCTCGGAGTCTTCGTTCGCCACCAAGCATGGACCCCCTAGTCATCATCCAGAATCCGAGTAAGTCGATAGCCTCACCCCGAGTTGGGTTTTCGATCAGCACAATTAGGAAAAAAACGAAGAAACAAAAAGTAATTACCTTGATTGAGTTACATAGGCAACATCCCTATTAAATAAAGGAGGGTGAGCATGCCTTGCGAAAAAAAGTGTGAGTTAAGCACGGCGTTGACTCTAAGTGGTTAGCAGCTTTTCATAGCGACCTGAAAAATGTAACTTTGAAAGACCGTTAGTAGGACTTCACGAAGCGAAATTTCAGATGGACTTTTGCCAGGAATGTTGCATCGAGAAGTCTTCTGATTGTTTTTTTCAACCTTTAAATAGTTTAATGGTTATTGTTGAAAAAAATAAATCCTTAAATGTAACAACTGCGTGATTACAGAAACAAATGCGCTTATCTTAATGCCAATTCGAAGTAATATAACAGATCACGAAAGTTTCCATTACTGACACTTGATTATATTAAAATGCGTTGAGGCATTACATTGCCTTAGAATTAGTTTTGATTTTAAACTATGATAGTCTTGTCAACAAATGCCAGAATTAATGTGGGAACTCCGATTTAATTGAAAGTGACAGCAATGTTACAGGATTTTAGAGTATAAATTGGCATTTTACATTCCAACTCGGAATTTGATTCACTTGTTTTTTTTGCACTAATTCTTCCGGCCTTTTAAGATACCCTACAATGCGTTTTTTTTATTTCGTTGCAAAAGCGAGAGAGGAGTGACATGAAAATAGTTCATTTACTCTCGACGGTTTGAATGCTTCTACGAATAACAAATTCTGAATTTGAAGACCTTCTCCGTGCTAATCGTCTAGCTTTGATGGAGGATAAATATTTCTCAGGTGTATAAGAATATCTTAAAATTCGCTGGGGATTTTTTCAACAATGGTTGCTACCATGCGTCCATGCTGGTTCAAATTGTTGAAATATTTAAAAACCACAAGTTAGGAGTCCCAAATGGACACGGCTTAGTGAATCGCATTTGTCTAGAGGTAAAAATGCCATTCTTTAAATAATAGGACTAGATTTGGCTGTCTGTTTTAGACTGTCGGTGCTACCTATTCTCAAGCGTGAAGCGACTTCATGGAGTCTTCAAATCTCCGAATTTTCCTTCCCAATATCCTGCTCAAATAGACTGTATTATCTACCTTTTTCAAGGGCTCCCATCCCAAATTGTACAGCTCACTTTCCTGACCCTTGATCTAAGTCCGCCTCGAATCGACATGTAAGGTCCACTTCCCATTTTATAATAGGAGCTACATAAAAGATCTTTTATTTATATAGACTCATTTCCCCTTAGTAATATGGAATCTGACATAAGCAGCAAGCAATACCGTAAAACATAAAGGAGGTGATTTGACACTCGGCAATTTTGCCGTGAATAATTCAGCAGCATTTAGTTAACAACACTCTGTTGATGGAACACTTCAACCAGGAAAATTTTTGAAAATCTGCATAAAATTTTAATGCCAAGTGTTTACTCCGAATTTCCCTTAACTCATTCATTTTTAGCAAAGTGGCGCAGGGAATACGCAAAACTTTGGATATTCCCTTCTCACTTTTTGTAGATGTTTTGACTACGTCGCGGTGCTGCATAACAACCGAACCCGATTGGTGAAAGAAACATTAGCCTATTCAGATCCACCGCCAGTCCTTTGTGGAACGCTGACAATGCAAAAGAAAAGGACCTTCTTTTCGGAAAGCAACTCGTTAGCTCTTGTTTTTCACTCCACTACTCGTTCTCCCTTCGAGCAGTCAACTCACATGTCTGGATTTCAGGGAAATTTTCTATTTTTAAATGCAAGTAAGCTTTCATTGTCACCCTGGCAAAGCTGTGTATTATGCTTCATTTTAATGCGTGTAGGCACCCTCGATTTCAGTAACAATGATAGCTGTTTATAAAAAGGTGGCGGAACATTACTGCTATCCGTTTTAGCACTTTGAATGATTAATGCCTGATGCCTTGTAAGGCATCAGTTTACTGCCGGAGTGAGTTCTAGGCCAAAATGGATGGCACTAAAGGTGTCTGCACTGCTTGGTGAATTTACCATTCCTAGGCAGTTCTTCTCCTATTCCAGCGAGATCATCAGGCTCTGCGAAGGTACCGCTTACAGGCAAGCACTCAAGATTTGAACGAGTGTTAGTAAAATTTAAGAAATGAGCAATTTTATAGAACTAAAGAAGCTGTTAAAAGATGACGAGCCAAAATTTAATGACGTACTTCCCATATTGTCAATTTGTCTCGATTTTTCCCGATGCACAAAAAATGCCGCATTGTGAAGAGGCGGAGACACAGTGAGGTAGTGGAAAACGGACATAATCAAGTCACATTCAAGTGTTTCCGGTTACTCTCACAAAGAAGCCGCGAGTTCTAGGGAGTTTCATGCATAAATTCGTCTGCATTTGATGCACTTATATTTATTCAAAAAAACAATGTAGAATTTGTTGAGGATTGTGCTGTCATAAAGTTTTTTTAATTTTTGACATCTGTATTTTTACATTTACATAGAGTAGATACTCCTCAGGTCAGATCATATTTTGTTGTTCACAAGTCGTGTCCACTTCAAATTGACGCTGTCCCTCAGTGTGCTTTTGCCCCCTCCAACCACCTTCACAGTATGTGGCGCAAAAGATTTGAATAAAAAACACACAGGCAGTGAGGAATGTGTGGATTTTGCGTCACTTCTGCACTAAACAGGAAAGACAGCAAAAGCACCCTCTCTTTGATAACCCACGCAACTCAAAGGTTAAGATTTACTCTACTAATTGAATTATTAATAGCTTGGGGTATGCAGAAGAGAAGGAATTGAAATTTATATCAGACTGTAAGATCCAACACTTATAACTTTGGCTAAAAAGGCTTTAGAATGGTGCACATCCCTCAGTTGAAATTAACCGATTGACTGGGTTGTACAGACTTATACATTTGTAGGAAAAATAGAGGGGACCGTTGCACTGATTCCACTTACCCCGACAACATTTTAACTCATAAATTTATCCTAGCGTCCATTCACTTTACGGTCAAAGCGACCAATCCGCTTCGTCAATTATAAACAGCACCATTTACCGAAGTTTTCGCCTTATGTTGTGCAGTGTACTTAGGCCATGACATGCGGATTCGCTATAAGTTCATTATTTTCTCATCTGCGTCCTTTTTATATTTGAATACCGTCCAAAACGCGTCATGCAAATCAGACATAAATAACACTGGCCTGCTGTCCTTCGTGAGCTATTTTTATATCATTTGAATTTAAATTCATCCAGGCAACTTTCGAGTGGATGGAGATCGGCTACCCGATTCGGAGTGTTCTTACTTAATTCGGAATCCACCGACACGACGCCTGCTTGCGGGTGGCCGAATTGTGTCCCCACGGTACCCCAGTGACTACCCTCCCAACATTCGCTGCTCCTACACCTTCATAGGGAGGAGCGACGAACGTATTGTCATATCCGTTCAGTCTTTGCTTCTAAGCCATCGAGACCTCTCAAATCCTTCCAATACAACCACACAAAGGTACGTGTCTGGGTTTCTGTTTGTTAGTTAATTGTGCAACAAATTTTTGGCTTTCAAGTTAAAACTTAAGATTGTTATTGCAGACAAAATCATGCGTCTTCATTAGGAGCTGCATCTGTTATGGCTGTCAAGTCTTGTACTTTTTTCTCCGAAGCGAATTGATTTCCCAATCACTGAAGGAAGGAGATGTTGCAATCAACAGAAAAATTAGATTTATTAACGTTGAATTATGTCAATGTAGATCGAGTTGACTACAGAGTCAGGCAAAAGACAGCTAGTCTCCTTGAAGTGGCCCTGCAATTATTGGTTGTGCACCCAGGAAAAATAGGCGAAACCGAGGGGAAATAATTAATGTCGTCAAAGTTTTCAAGGTGTACGAGAAACAGTAATATTAGAAGCAGCACAATGGAAGTGGGCTTGTCGTGGTGAGGGTTAGATACTCTACGAACCATGGAAAAGCCGCCTGGATTACACGCCCCCATTAGACGCCTAGCCGAGTACACTATGCGATGTGTTGGGGAAGTTAATTTTATCTAAAAATGCCCATAAAAGGAAGTGCTTGAATGATCTCGAAGAGCACATTATGTTTGCGTCTCCGGCTTTTGTTTCGCTGACCATCAGCGCTTTGCTTTATTGGCGCGGGACGGATTGTAAATAACCAAACTAAGCAATAAAAGCTCGACTTTGTTAGCTGTGTAGTTATCACATTACTCTTGAATGCATTCAAGTTAAATTACTTTCGTCTTGGCCAAAATGTTGGCTGTGCAGTAAGAAAATGTTTTCGTAAGGTATGTGCTTATAAGAACCAGAAGGAGTTCTCACATTTCCAACTTCTTTGTTGAATGAATTTAGCAAGTTGTTTAAGTTTAAGTGAGGTCAGTAAAATATGAGGTGAGATCACTTGTACCCTTATAATTTTCACTTTTCTGCAGAACCTCCCCTATCAAATGCTAATGTCGGGCCTGAAGTACCTCTCCAGTACCATGGAAGGAGTATAAAACATGAGTGAAGGAAGGAAGCATTGCGTGAAGTACCGGTGTGTTTGCCACCTTGTGCAAAAGTTCGGCAATGTTGTACGCAAGTCCTTAAAATTTGCAAGCATTAAAAAGCCAACCAAGTCAAACTGTGAAGGCAATTCGGATTGAAAGATGAATAACTGAAATAATTGTGAAACCTAGTGTGAAGTTATGGGAAATTCTCTATCTTATAAGACAGGATGCTCCTATCACATCAAACTCTATTGCTCAAATCATTTGTGTTATTTTCAAAGCACATTTCCGTAGATTGTACGATTTTCTGGGAGCGACTACAACGCAACGGTCACCATTTCACCAAATTCTATTAGTTGATTTGTGCACTTCAACCTCAACTTCTCAACGGCTCTATCATTTCTTGCATTGTCGTAATTACTGAGAACAAGCCTAACAGTTTAACACTTTTTTCACCCAAGCAAATTTTTAATCTCTTGTTCATTCAGCTGCGTCTACGAGACATCCCTGCTGTCCAGCTTTGATAGAGTTTTGGTCCACAGTCTACCACTCGGTCGATGGAAAGAGGCCAATCTACTAACAAGGATCTGTGGGACACTCTATTCATTCCAAATCATCTCCGAGGGCCCAAACCTCCAGCTCACCTTCATTTCTCTTCCGTTTCGTCCTAAATATGGTGGCTTCTTGATCGAATACGTCTTTGTAAAGAGCTTTAGTGTTACACCACAGGTCTGGACAGCCACCGCTGCAGTTCCCTTTGAACAGAGGGCAATGCAAGAAACTGTGCGAGAGTTTTTTGACCATGTAAAAAACCTGCAGAAAGTCAATCTGCCCAAGGATGCGGCAGGTGGGTTGAACCAGATTTGTTTTTTTGCGATGTGGCTGCCCGCCTGTCTGACTCTGTGACAACTAGGTACACTTTATGGACCAAGGCTTTGGCTTCCGTGAATGCACAAAAGATCACATTCTGAAGATGAGTATTCCAACTCTTCAACTTTTTAGCGATAGAACAGTGTTAAGTAACGAGGTTCCGCTAGCCATACGATAGGTTCACAGATTTTATAGCCTCATACTTTAAGTTTGCCTTTACGACCGCCGATGGGAGTCTCATTTATTTTGGGGTTAAGGCTAGAAGGCACTACCCTTAACTGTGTGATATACTCATGTCAAATTGCTTGCATACCATTTAGAAGTTTCCATATCTCATGCAAATTTGTCATCTTTAATGGGATATTTAGCATCTTTACGATAAACAGCTCTGTAAAAATGTTGACAGAGGAATTATAGTTACAGGCAGCAATTCAAAAACTCCATGATGCTATCACAGTCACTCATTAAAAGGAACATTGCCTGTATTTACCTCCAACGCCATGGAGAGTTTTGAGGAATCTGGTCGCTAAAGTAGGGCAATTTGGAGGATCAAAAGCTATAATATCGCTGGTTAGGTTACCCTCATTTCTCATGGCGAACATTTGGAGGGGTTTCCTCTCCATGAAGAGTTTCAAGCTAAGCCGACTCCTTTGAACTTGTGAGGAAAAGGCGCCTACATTTTGGACTCGCTAGGAGCGTTTTGGATGGCTTTACAAGACATCAATCTACTGCATGTCCATACGCTAATTTTACTAAGCTCTTCGTTAGTAGCAAGACCACGCTCGACAAAGTGTCCGCCCTCGCAAGAACCAAGCTTCTTATTTAGTCAGGGACGACTTTGCTGCTACATGGAGGCAACATTAACAGAATACCACCGTTATCGAATGCCTTGGTGACGCTAATCAAACTGTCAAAGTCTGCCTGGAAAGGATGGGTAGAAGTTGAGGGAAGGAGAACTAAGAAAACATTTTTACCCAACGGACAAAATTTGTCAACCCCCATCTTCTTCCATTCCTTATCTTTATTTCGACTGACAGACGAAGTGATCCTACGAAAGCCGAGCAACACCAACATCCTAAACAGTGATTCTGCAAGTCTTCAGCACAGTTGCAATGCGCCAGAAGTCGTGGAGGTGATAATAGATTCGCACCAGACTGAAGAAGGGGTCCTTACGTCGCCACGATTTCCCGAACGCTATCCCAAGTGTGTCAACGGAACTTACTACTTTCGTGGGAGATCGGGACAGAGAGTATTCCTGAAATTTGTTCTTCTTGAACTAGGAGATTATGAACGGTAAGTCGTTTAAAAAAGTTTTAATTAACAATCGCATCTACCGAATAAACATAACAATTCTGTGGAAATGAGACTCCAAGTCTGTTCTTTGAATGCACTCGATTGCCAACCAAATCGCGTCTTCTCCTTTCCCAAGTGAAGGAATTAAACATTTCCGGCTAAGATCACTATTGATGGCCTCTAATGCTGCACCAATTGTGTCACCATTGGCTGCTAAAACTTTCATTTGTCTATTAAAATACTTACGGTGAGTGGACTTTGGTGTGAGATAGCGGATCTTAATTCCTGTCAAGAAAAATGCTTAAAAACGATTCGGTGCTGAGGAAATTTGGTTGAAGTGGAGAAGAGATGATTCATCCCGTGTGGCATTGAAACCGGCGAAATGAAGGTTTACCCCCTGGAATTTAGAGAAAGCGAATGAAATTTTATGCACTTTACCTCCCCTAACTGAAGTGTGTAAATTACGGTCTGCCGTTCTACAATCAAATGACGGTAAAATGACAGGACGAGGCTTTCACTTGGACCCTAACTGTCAAAATCGAGGGAATGTGATCGCGGTGCTACGCGATGTGGTAGGAGAAATGTGAGATGCACTGGCCCATGTGCGCCATGCCGAGAAGGCCCACCTCGGTGCTCCCTTGTGCGAGGTCTTTAAGGTTACTCAGTCACTACGTCCTTTGTAATTGTAGTACGGGTGGCAGTGTACTTTAGCAGGGAGCCGTCTTACAAATTAATGTTTATCTAAAATCAAAACTGAAATAAGTTTAATTTTGTGGAAATGTTTTGCGCTTTTTCAAGTTGGTATGAGATTGAATAGTTTATTTGCTTACACAATTTCCCAACTGAATAAGTTAGTTTGACAAACGTAGACAACACGTTAATCAAAATGAGGAAGTGCGCTTGAAAAAGACATTGGAAACTGCCGCGGTTTACTTTACACTTTTCGTTAGGCATGCGTCATCAATGGTACCTCTTCCTATCTCAAACCAGCTGAGGTCAAGAAACACTTCCCACAAATAACGATGTTGATTAGTAACCTTGCCCGTTCATCATTTCCTAGCCTGCCTTAATTGACAAAAGAATGGACTTGGTAAGGCTGTTGCTTATGGAGTGATCGAATCGACAAACCCATTTCAGATGCAATGAGGCCACAGGGCAGAGTGGAGATCGCCTGTATTTCTACGACGGTCCGTCTATCGAAATGCCAGTGCAGTTAAGTGTCTGTGGTAGTAGACAATCTGTCTTTCTTCCCGAGGCTGAACGACAGCCAGCGTCGGCTCAAAACCTCGCAATTGCTTCTTCAGGCAGCTACTTTACCATGCTCTTCACCTCGGACGAGTTCGTGGGGAAATTTGAATTTGGTTTTCGACTGGAGTACCGATTTCAGAATCTCCTAACGTGGGAGACAGTCGCAAACCACAAGGCAATGGTGAATGACTCCCGTAAGGCAAAGAAGGAGCGCGTGGTGTACTTCAACTACCACCTACAAACCCTTGCAACGAATCCCACCTCTGGAATTTCCACCGCAGCATTCAATTTGTACATATTTTTTGGTAAGCCGAAAATATCATGCATGATTTACCAATAAAATTGAGGAACGAACATTAAAGAAGTGAGCTCTTAAACAATTTAGCCAGGCTACTTCCTTTAGTTCCAACAGCTCGAGTTCTCGACCTACTTCCACAATACTTATTGTTATCCCGATGAAAGTTTTTTCAAGAGTGGTTTTTTGGTCGTTTAACACCTGCGATTTGTTAAAATAAATCTGGCAAAAAATGTGGAAATTGAACAGCTAACATAGAAACAAAATGAACAATGGCACTATTTTATGTTCGTCACATTCTGTCTGGTAGCATGGGACAGACATTGCTATAAAACCACAAAAAGCTGCCATGGTTTAGCAAGTCAACGAATATCTCAGGGATTAGTTGTTGCAAGAAATCGCAATGCATACATAGGAGGAGGGAAAGTATGTGAAGGCGACCGACACCAATGCAGCGATCGGAACCTCAAAAGGTGATGGTGCTAAATACGCTGCCTTAACTGCAGTTGCATTCAGCTTATCGGAAGAGGCTGGATCTACAAATAAAGGAGCAGTATTGAGTAGGTGCAAAAGCTTGAATTGCATCACACGGTTCGTAGAATTTTGGAGGAAAGTAGAGAAAGCGGGATGAGGATCTGCATGTTTCAAGCTCCTAGTCGAGAGAATTTCGGCGCATTCGACACATCAATTTTGCGAAGTGACAACCTTTGATTTTGTGGTTAATAATTACTTTAAGGTGCAAAAAGATGTCTGACGGGATTCTGACTGTTCGGATGTGAATCAACGCCTATTCTCGCCAAAAATATCTTTCTCATGATCCTGAACCTTAGAGGTGCAGGGAGATGACATTATTTTGATGCTTACCGCATTAATGCATTAATTTTGAGCGTTTAAAATATATGCGCAAATGCGTCTCCTTTTGCCTCTACAGCTCTTCACATTTCCATTGACGTCTATTGAGGGCGAAACATTTCATCATGCTGAAAGACAAGATTGAATCAAAACTTCGCACACTTTTACTGTCTTCCGAACAAACCAATTCCTTCAGATTGTGCAAATTCCATGCCTGTGGGCGAATAAAGTATTGACGAAAGACTGCTACGTTTCTTCTTCTTGCCTTCACGGTGGTTTTACTCCACATCACTTGAAAGTTGAGTTAGCATGATTTGCATGAAACAATGCTTGTCCGCTTTTACTTTCGCTCTGCAGTCGCAATTCTTGCTATGAGGATTGTAAAATACGAGGATCTCGTAGTGTATTTCGGGATGGGAGTCTTCCAGTTCTTTAATAAGGCTCTGGCAGACTGAACTTTAAAGAGATTTTGACTGACCAAAGTGGTCAGAAGATCATGAAATGAAGCATCGGTGATGTACTTCATCAAGGAGAAGAATAGAAAGGAAAGTGCAAGTGGCTAGTGAGGTAGATTTGCGGGAAAAAATGACTTGAATAATAAATAAGGGTTTTTTCCATTAAAAAAAAACAGTGACACACGAAACTGCGTTAACCACTCAAGAATGTTTCTCATGGATCCACAACTGGGCCGAAAGGCAAAAATGGGACGGAAAGGGATGAATTGACCTATTTCCACCAATCAGCTAATAGGGTGAATACTTTTGGCGCTGATAAACATTTTGCCATTTGCATCCCCCACTTTCCCCCCTCAATTTGCGCCCATCGCTCATGGTTTTCACAATTTGGAATAGGCTGTTACCGATTTAAAGAAAGAGTGACTTAAAACAAGTCCTTCCTAATACTCTTCGCACCTTCGGAATGAATAGCTGAATAAGTGAACTGCTTTCTAAACACTTCATCTATTCCGAGACGTGAACTGGCTAAGAAACTTTTGTGGTTAAAGTCAGTAGCTATACAGGTTGACAATGCGTGTAAATGACTTATATTTTTAATTAATAATGACAATTTGCGGGTGATGGAGGTAAACTTACCCTTCTTGCCAACCAAGATTGGCTCTCCTATAGGACTACTAGCAGTGGCTCAGTCTACTAGTAAAGTGGGACCTTCGAAAGCAAAAGTGCCCCCCAGTTGAGGGTTAACAAGGGTTTCAGTATTTTTCCATGCATCTTTGAAGAAGGGATTTGAGTTTACCGACGTCAAATTATTGCATCAGCCATAGCTGACAGAAATTTTAGCTTAGGAAAGGAAACGCTCCCCATTTTAAGAGGAGACGTTTAATGTTGCTTAATTGGTATCGGTACATAACGACAAGCTACGGTGGAGAGAAGAAGAAAAACAGGAAAGTCTAACAAGCCGTGAGAGAGAGAGGAAAAGGTATTTATTGTCACTGCACTTTGGATCGCATGTCAGTCAATCGTAAACATTAGAGTGACATTCCACGGTCCAGAATGCATGTACTCCTTTAGGCAAATAATGATTCCTGAAATCTGCGGCGA